GTATTTCATGGTATTCACGAAGCACGTGCATTATTTCTGCTCTAGGAACTGCACACCACGAAAAAATCTAAGTTGAATCCACCAATATTAATCAAACCAAAAAGCACGTAAAAGGTATCAATCCGAAAACTTTTTATGTTCTACTAAATGCTCTTATCATTCTCTCACAAATACCTAAGATGTTGACTAGTAGCATGCATGTGGGAAGGTAATCGGTCTCCGATCTCTCACCTAGAGGGTACTAAAAGTCATAAAAGCAGAGTTTTATGTGTTCGCTTCTGCGTCATCCGTGTTTAGATTTTGTCAATTTCATTGTAAAGATAACTGCCTTTGTTGCATTTTGCTTTGACAAATCAAGAAGTACTTGCCTTGTTTTATGCTATTGAGTCTGTTAGCATTCATCTGTAGATTTTTGGATTTTTATGAGAAGGCTTCTGGAGGCAAAATTGCGTGGACAGTGGAAGGTCGTTTCGAGCAGAAAATACGCCTTTTTTGGCTTTCGCCAGAAAGGCTTAACAGTAACCATTTCCCGTTTGCGTTTGTGTCCTCGGAGAAATGGGTTAAGAAACAAACTCTGTTGGTTAGACGGCAGCAGTAGTTTATGTAGCTCCACTCATTAATCCCTACAACCTGCATGTTTTCTTACGAAAATGGTGTTTATCAGGTTTTATTGGCGGGAAATAAGGATACACAGTGGAATATACCTTAATAAAGGCTAAATTCATTTTTATCTTACTGAATATTTAAGTGTTGTTGATTTATATTCGTAGATTCTCCTAATGTGTATTATCATTTTACTTATTGCGGAAAAAATCGACTATCAAATTGCAGGTTTCTTAAATTGCCCGAAAAATTGAAATGGTGGTTAGGAGTTCGTCTACTTCAACCTTCCTGTGGTCCAACTTACCGTTCTGGAGTTAGATTAGTATATAATACATCTAAAAATTGCCTTCTCTGCTTATCCTATTTCCCCACCCCACAAAACTCAATAACCATCATTTTGCAGGTCAAAGTGCTAGGACTAGGGGTATATGAGTGGGTCTACATAAGCCACTTTTGCCGGTTAGACCTTGAACTATATTCAGCATTGATAATACAATAGTCGCCAAAGACCATGTTAATCTCAAGGCGAAATTAGACTTGGTACTTTAGCGTATATTTAGTAACACTATTTTGATTCATTCAGTTTATTGAATGGGCACTTTAGCGTATATTTAGTAACACTATTTTGATTCATTCAGTTTATTGAATGCTGTAAAAGCATTTCAGTTGGTTAAATCGTCATTTTAGTTAGGTATATTAAGAGAACTTGCCATTAATTTTGGCGAAATTGGGACTAGTCTCATATCGAAAAAATTTTCTATACTATTACGAAAGAGAGGACCAAACTGCACGTTAATGTTGATTATACTATGAAGGAACTCCAAAATAGGTAAAATAGATATAGAAGATATCCGTTCCTAAACTGGAAACGTTTGTCCAAAATTCTTCAGATTTAAGTGAAGCCAAGTTAAAGGAATCACACTTACTTGAAGTAGCGTCGGAGATTTGTATTTAAAAAATTTGTTTTAGCTAACCTGTGAAGTTTTTTTGTACAAAATGCAGTAACAGGGAAGCTTTCGTTTTAATGCAGAAATAACGTATAAATGTCCTTGAACAAACGCAAAATGTCTAATATGATATTGCGAATTTAAGATATAGAAGGCCTTACTGAATGTAAGTCGAATAGAAACATAGTTTTTTGTGTACTTTACGTTCCCCTTTTGCGTTATTCAGAAACTGAACAGACAGAAGAATAGTAAGTTTTTCAAAAAATGGCAATGTATATGGCTAGTTTTCTAGAATTCGCAAGATAATATAAGGAAGTGAAATTGATCCACTAATGCAAAGATAATCCATTATAAAGAGGAAAGAAAGTTCTTTCATCTCCGGTGCAATTGAATCGTTTGTTTTCAGGAAACCTAAAGAAATTCTCAAAATTCCAAATTTTATTTTGACATTACGTTGGAAAAGTTAATATAAGCAGAAGTTCGTCAGCCGAATATTTAATCAAAGCACTTTCTAGGAGGTACACTTATATGGAAAGTTTTTTTTATGAATCTTAGGAATAGTAGTTTCACAACTTTACTACGGACAGGAGTCACTCTCGACAATATGGTTTGCTGTTTTGAGGCGTTTATTAATATCAGCAACGTGACCATATTACTTACGATTTATATCGGAAAACACTTTCTTTCGGTAAATGCCCTTTATATATATATCTTATTTTAAAGGTTTTCGTGTAAACGTCGAACAAATGCAGAATTTATAAATATACATATGAAAACAATGAAAACAAGGAAAATGATGACATACTTTTTTCGACGACATTCAGTAATAACCTATCGAGTAACGCTTTAATTTTATGTCACTAGAACCACGGGATTATCGGGAAAATTTTATTTTTCTTTACAAACACTTAGTACTTCACATAGTTCTTTTAAGTAATTAATATGCCTAATGCCGTTCATTACTATTTTTAAGTTTTCTTAAATGCATTCACAGTGGTATTCGATTTATGATCAAACTAATACAAAGTTGTGAAAGCTGCGTGGTCTTCGGCGACTACGTTACTCTTCTTTTGTGGATACTGCCTCACTCTTGGCAAATAACGAGGCTTGCAGCCCTGGATAATTACCAGGCATTTTTTCTACTTTTTTCAAGAGTTATTATTTATATACTGCATACAGTGTTGATCCGAATGTTATTTACGTTCTTAAACTACTCACTGGAAAAACTTGTTAAACAGATTAACTAAAAATTCCGGAAGGTAAAACGTGAGACAGTTTAGCGGCAGTAATGGCAAAATAGGATTTTGGATTTTAATTGTTTTTATACAAGATAGTGGAAAATGTACCACTTTAACTCTCGTGACTAATGGCGGCCTTTATATTTTTGAACTGCTCTTTAATCTACTGGTGTGAGCATTCAACGTAGAGGGCAGTTGTAAATATCTAACAACTAAAAAATAGATTTAAAATTTATAGTTTCGACAGCAGTAATAGGCATTGGTAAGCTCAGTAGTCACAAGTACTTTGCTCCTAAACTGGCCTCAGGTTGGCTTCACTGAGCCGACACGGGCGCACAAGCAAGGAACGACAAGGAGTGTTCTGGTTGTGCTCCTAAAACAGATGTGATTGTGTTTGACAGGCAAAAATTGGGGCACTGGTATATAAAATATATGCCTAACAAGACCCTTGCTGTATCGCATTAAATACTACAGGGCGCGCAATTTCCGACACAGGAGAATGCTTGCTGAACATGGGTGGACATATTTACGTGATCGTGTAATGTGTTAGTAAAGTGAGTCCATCGAATCCTAGTTTCAGTCAAAGAAAATGTTTAAATTGTCTGATTTTTTCACGACAAAGTATCGCGTTATAAGTATACAAATAAATTTACTTATAATACTTACCTTTTAAGAGTTTATTGCGTTTGACAACTTTGTATATTTATTGCCGACATTTACATTATACTTTATTGGGTCAGTTGATATTCTTAAAAAAAAACTTGTTGATAGGATGTCGTTTACTTTAAATTGCCTGGGTTCCAAAATACCATTTTACGGTTTGTAAGTTTCCAGGTGCGAAGCGTCGTATACACCTTCGTTTTACATGCGAAACACATTAGCTTAAGTTTACGCTATTTTGTTTACTTAGGTTATTTATATTTAAGTTCGATAATCAATTCATTAATATGTTTAAATTTTTTATTTTTGTTTGGGTTATTCTTAAATTGAAGTCAGCTTACCTTACCTTAGATAAGGTTTTATTTGGTTAGATTTAAATGTAGTCAGTTACGTTTTATTTTGTATCTTTTCCAATATTTAAAAAATTACAAATTTCAATAATAGCACCCATTTTTGTTCAGAAGGTTTGGATATTTGTGAAAATGCTCCTTAATTTTATACTTCTAGTTATTTTAAAATTGAATTTTTATATTTCTATTCTTTTCCTTTTTTCTATTATCTAGACCGCATACCCTTTATTTAAACTGGTTCTGTATTACATAATAATGGGGCGTTTGCCTGCCAGTCTCATGTCTAAACCAGGGTACAACCGAAGAGTCAAGCCCCTATTTGCATAAAATAAAGGGAATTTAATATAATGGCAGGAAACTAAGCCAATCATCTTAATTTGTGAAATTGCTTTCCGAATGCAAAATCCTCTATATTTCTGTGACCCTAAACTCCAAATGATCGGGAACGCTTACCTGTCAGAAGTCAGCCCACTGATGTCGTTAACACAGAGGTTCAACGTGTATTTTTGGAGGTGAGTTTTAAGATTGGGCTATGTGAAAATTAGACTTTGTGGAAAGTTTGGTCGACTACTAATGGCAGAATAGCTTAATGCCGGAAAGCGGCCATGCTAGTCACAGTAATTGGCTTTGGCTGACCAATATTTCTCTTGTCTCGTTGTTTCAAATGTTCGGCAGGTGATGGCGTTGAGGCTTCAATACTGCTTATCTTAGGCACTGTTAACTAAATAAGGGATTGTTGAAACGCTGCCTTCCTCTTCGGGGAAGTGGACTGCTCAGTTTTTTTTCGGTTCCATGTTATCGTCTTGCCACTTTTTATATGGGTGCAATGACGTAGGACTTTGTCGACCGCTGGGAGGTCTAGGTTGCGATTTATCGCGTTGACGTCCGAATACCACACATATGTTTGAGCCGTGTGGTTTTATGTGGCGCCATTTATGTGCGATAAAAAGCTGGGCTTTTCGTTATCTCAGAAATAGTTTTGAATGTATAGTTTGTTGCCATCTCTTTTTGATTGAAAGGCTGCAATGCGGTTAATAATTTTGGGTCTTAACTTATTTAAATGTGTGAGACTGGGGGTTCATTCACCTCTATCAACCGGAAGTGAACAGTCGCCCGGGTGAATTGAAAAGCACTCTAGGACTGCCTTGGCGTTCAACCGTGAGAGAGCGTGGGAACGTCGCATCCGTCCCTCATCTCAAGTGATGTCTACCGGCCGTAATCCCGCGCGGCAACCGAAAGCTCTCTTTTTTGATTGGTTGGACCGCACGAAGGTAGACACTGGCGTGGGTGGTGAGTGTCTCATGCGCCAGTTTGCGCCTGGTCGGAGGCAGGCCGAAAAGTGCATTCGCGTAAGGTCCTGCTCTGAGTGACCTTGTCTGTGACGTCAAGAGATAGGAGGGCGTAGGGCAGCAGCGACCTTTGCAAGAAAATGAACGAATTAAGATTAGTTTAAGATAAGGAAAAAGGTACGTACCAACGGTAGGTTTCGAACAGCTGGTGTTCGTTTGGCTGGCTTGCGGGAGCCGTGTTGAAGGGGCAGTTGTGACTTGCACTGTGGCTGGCATGCGTGAGTCGGGTCGGTGCTGCCAGTGCCGCTTGGCTGGAGGAGAGGCCATCTTCGTCCGCGTCGACCTCTGGGTCTGCGTGCTGGTAGAAGGAGTGTTCTCGAGTACGAGTACATCGGCATGTTGGTAGGGGAAT